TAAATAATGCTGCAGCGAGATCTTCACAAAAACAGTGTCTTCCTCCTGTGTCTCAGAAGTATCTAGAAATGGCAGAGCATGGCGGTGCATACCTGTAAGGCCAGCACCACTCGGAAGGCTGGGGCAGGAGAATCACCATAAGTTCGAGGCCACCCTGGGTTACAGAATGAGACCCTGCCTCAGACAAACACCCCTCCCTCCCAGAAAGTATGTGGAAATTCAGTAACTGGGTAAGCAGCATACTCTCAAAAGCATGTGGGGTGTCATGGTCCGGAGGATATCAAAGCTCTGACATTCTACACATGGTTCGACCAGTAGGTAAAAATAGAGGCGACCATACCCAAAGGAGTGTTGTTGGATAGAAGTTTCTTTCATGCACCTAGTGCAAAGGACTTGGTCTAAAATCATTGGCAAAGGCCTGTTGGTGGAACTGCTGGAACTGAGCAAGTGAGGTTCTGAATTCTGGCCTAGCTATGGCTCTGGATCAAAATCCCAGAAGACTGCTGATGGCTGCCTCTTCCCAGGGAAGCCTCAAACAGAGGATAGTGGGGGTGGGAAGGAGAATGGGCGCAAGACATGTGGGGCTCCTGCCTGCTCCTTACCGATTCTGTTCCGCTCTCCTCCCTTCTCAGCCCCCCTCTCCCCATAGCTCTCTCAGGATCACAAGACTCCTTCCACCAGGGCCACAGCTTCCAGTTTTGCGTGGCTTGAGTCACCCCTGAGCCTGTCCCTGTGGCTGAGATGCTGACAGGTGCTGCTGGACCTCCGTCAGCAATAGTCACCCTGGCAAGGAGAGGACCAGGGTAACCGGTAGTGAAAGATTAATTGAAACTGAAGCCCTAAAGCCCAGGAAGAGCCAATTCCAACTAAGCCTGAGCTTCAGACCAAGTGAGAGGGCCCCAGGTGCGGTTGGGAGGAACCCACCCTCCTCCTTGTGGCGATTTTCTGTGAATGGAAAGGAGGAAAGGCCAAGCTGTTCTAAGTCTATGTAGAAAGAGAACACAGAGTCTTTATTATTTAATTTAACCCTGACAACAATCTATGTAGATATTGTTACTCTTTTTTTTTTTAAAGGAATATGAAATAGAAAAAAAAAACAAAACAAAACATTAGAAACTATTCAAAATTTCATTAAACAAAGTAATAGGAATTTAACAATGTTGTATTGCATAATCTTGTCTTCAAATTAGTTGTTTAGGTTACCAGATATAAACCTGCAAAATTGTTTTAAAAAACTTATAATAAATTAAAATTTTTTTTAAAATAAATTTTTAAGCACTAACTGCTTCTTTCAGTAGACCAACAGAAACCAGCAGTGCAATTTTCCAAACTATCCTTCATATATACATAAATATGTCTTTTTCTCTTCCTCTTATTTTGCTGGTAAGGAAATTTTACCTCAGAGAGTGTGAGTCATTCGCTTTGGGTCACACAGCTCATTTGCATGGAGGCTTATCTCACTAGTTTCAGGTACTGTGTGGCTCACTTGTTAATGACCCTGCAGTCCATCCAAGCTCGTCATGGAAAACACATTAGATTCTACTCCCCTGAGTTTTTGCTATTGTTACTATTTTAAAATCATGTATCAATTTGAAACGTGTGTGTGTGCACGCGCGTGCACGTATGTTTTAGATAAAAATCAGAAGGAAAACTAAGTCAGGCATCACCTAGCTGTTCTGTGTTATCAGATTCTGGCCCTGCACCAGATCAAGGAATGAATCACTGCTGATGTAATGCGCCTCTCGGTAGAGCTATTATGCGGTACCCAGGTGCACTGAATTTTTTGGTATGAAATCAGATCTCTGCACTTGTCCCAGGTGAGCAATTATGATGCTGCGAATGAAGCACTTGGATGAAGTTCAAAGAGCTGAGAACAAGTAATGAAAACCAAGGGACAGCCATCCTGGGGGTTCTAGAGAGGTCACTCCGGCTCTGGGCTGCGTGGAGTCCAGTGGTGAGAACCTGGGCATCCGGGCCTCCTCTATTCCTCTGTGACAACAGGATTCTCAGGACCTGTCAGACTTTGGGATGAGGAAGATTCCAGAAAACCTGCTTCCACTTCTGGGGACTTCACTGAAGGCGAATCCCATGTCCCCTTCAACTCTGACCTCTCTGCCCTATTAGCAGCCTTTGGAGTTGGACAGACCATCCTCACTGCCATTCTGGCTGGAGAGAGGTGGTAAGTGTGGGGCGGGGGGCAGCGGGTGTGCAGGAAGTGTGGGTCAGCACATGAACCTGTGCTGCCGAGGTCTGCGGCCCGATGGCCCAGCTAGGGCAGGGGTCGGTCCGCCACACCAGGAAAACAGCCAGCGAGAGGAGCGTGGGGTGTCGGCTCTCTCCATGCAGGAAGCACTGAGGTTAGAAGTGCTTTCCATGAGGAAAAAGGGAGCGAGTTCACAGATCTAAATGCCTGAACAACAAAGAAGCAAATAGACATAGAAAAAGAAAAGAAATCCTAAAATTTGACTATGATCTCTTTTTCTTCCAAGAGACTACATGGAAGCTCTGTTGTTGAAGTACTTCATTGCTTTTAATTTCATCTGAAAGTACCCTCAGACCATTTCAGTTCTTTACCTTTACTCAAAGTAAGTGGTTACTTTCTGATTAATACAAAGCCTAAGATGTAAAATGGGCAATTTAGGGCCATGAAAGAGAAATGACAGGCATTTTAATGCTGCTTCTCAGAAGTATTACAAATTATACTTTGAAGTTTAAAAGGCTGAAAGAATTACACCTAAAGTTCAAACTTGACATGATCTTGTTGAAAACACAGTGTATCAAGTACCACGTGGATGAAGAGAACTGGAGAGACACCTCAAATATTATTGCACTATAACTTACCTTTGAGTCGAAGGAGAATCACTCAGGAAAGTTGCCCCAGGTTATTTCTGAGGCAGCCATATTTGTAGCATGTGACCTTCAGTATGAAAGCTGATTGGACAGAAGCAGATGTGTCCCATGGGCTCATGGGAACACTGGGATACAGTTTCCTTAGAGTACTACATAGGCTGTGGGTATGGCCCAGTACAAAATGAAAATGTGGTCCCTCTTTTTAAAAAGGTGGAGGAAAGTGCCATTAAATGTGGTAAGAAATAAAGCCTTTTCCTTTATTTTACACTTTCTCTTGACTTGTCATGGTATATTTTTAATTTACTACTTGGTATCATTTTTCAATTAAAGAAACAAAATGGAATTTTAAATTATTAACATTAATTTTACCTTTCCTCTTGGTATGGGCAACTCATCTTAAATGCAAACATTAGTACATTTACTGCCTGTGAAGAATTTCTAAAATAACACAATTTATATTTTGTAGCTCATATATGCATATATATTTGATTATTATCCAAAAGTTGGAAATCCTGAAAAAATTTACTTTTGTTTTTGCTTTTTTATTTTACTTATGCATTGTTTTGTTTTATTTTTCAAGTGCTAGGGAAGAACCCAGGGCCTTGCTCTACACCCTCTGGCCCACCCCTCCTTTTTTGAAACAGAGTAGCCCAGGCTGGCCTCAAACTTGCAGTTCTCTCTTCCCAGCTTGCCTAGAAGCTGAGAGTTGGATGCTGCTGCCACACCCCGCCTTGAGGTGGCTTCCTAATACATTTCTTAGCTTTCAGAAATACGAAAAGGAAGGAACGACGTACCTCTTTTGCCCTTTTCTCCCAAGTCCTTGTTGCAGCCTGTGTGGTCAGTCAGCCAATGCAGAAAAGCACTGGGAGTGAGACAGGCCTGCCCTGCCCCTTGGCCTTCTGCGCTCCTCCCAGCCCTCTGGCTACTGCTGCAGCTGAGGGAGCTCGAGGCCTCATGGTAAGGGTGGTCTCCTGGGGCTGCCCAAACGTCCCTCTGCTTCTTAGCTACAGAGACAACACACAGAGACAACATGCTGGCCAAATAAATGATGGGGACCCAACACAGAAGTCAAGCCAATGCACTTTCCCTTTTCCACGTTTGTTACTAATACTTTGTGTCACTTTGCACAGTGCAAAACCGCATGGCAATTTTTAGAGCTTGCACCTTCTTGTGTTAAAAAAAAAATCAGGGCTCGTATTTTATCACAATGGTTAAGATTTTGTATGTGTTGCCTTTAAACTTTAATTGTGTTAAAGATCTAAGTTGACATCATACCTGGTCATACTTCTATCTTATCATTTTCAATTATATTTATTTATTTAATAAGCAATAGACTTACAGCACGCAATTACTTAGACGTGAGGCAGAGACGACACTCTCCACTCCTCCCTGCTGGCTTCTCTTCCCACTTCTTTCCCAAGTGGAGACCCAGACTTCTGTGCTTTCCCTGAGGGTGCTTAATATACAAGAATCATGGAAGTCTTCAGTAAATGTTTAAGTTGAAAAATTATTATAGTGAAAGGCACACTGCAATGAATCTGCCTCAATATACTCCCTCTTACCAGGGTTTGATCCTCGGTCCTGCCTGCTGCACTAGCCCCGCCCCCAGGGCACGCTAAGTGGGCTGCAGAGTCTGGGCATGGTGGTGCACACCTGTAATCCCAGCCCTGGGGAAGCTGAAAACAGGAGGATCACTGCGAGTCTGAGCTGCATAGTGAGGCCCTGTAGCAAATACACAAATAAAAAAAGAAAAAAGAAAAACCAGGAGGAAGTCTGTGCCTTGTCACGATATGGTAAAGCTGAGGGATAGAAAGTTTGTACCATAGAGATTGCTCACAGGGCCGAAGAGGATGGGGCCACGCCAGACAAACAGGACACCAGAACGCCTTGTGTGTGCATGTGTGTGTGCATGTGTGTGCATGAGTGTGTGTGCACACACGTGCATTACAAAATTTCATGAAACAAAGTAATAGAGATTCAACAGTGGTTGCTGTATTGCAAGATGTCATCTTCAAATTAGTTGTTTAGGTTACCAGATATAAATCTGCAAAATTGGTTGAAAACAAAACAACAAAAAGTTACAAAAAATTAAAGAGGAAAAAAAAAAGAAAATTTTAAGCATTAATTGCACCTTTCAAAAGACTAGCAGAGTGCTTGCTTCGGCAGCACATATACTAGACTTGGAACAAGGCAGAGAAGATCAGCATGGCCCTGCACAAGGGTGACCTGTGAATCTGTGACGCCTTCCATATTTTAGAAAAAGACTGGCAGAAACCAGCAGTCGAGTTAAAACTACCCTGCCTATATATGTAAGTACGTCTTTTTCCCTTCCTTCTATCTCTCGTCCTTTTTCTCATCCCAGTTTTCCTTCCCATGTAACACATCCTTTCACAGTCTCTGTTGTACCTTTCAGATTTTATTTACTTTTTCAGGTTCTCACACTAGAGTGACAATGTGATATTTGCACATGTGGGTCTGATTTATTTCACTTACAAATACAGTCTCTGACTACATCCGTTCATCTATAAAGGCCTCTAATTTATCATTTTTGTAGCTAAGTAGTACTCCATTGTATAAAAATACCACATTATTTCTATCCATTCCTTACTTGATGGGCATCTGGGTTGTTTCCAAGATTTATCTATGTCAAATTGTGCTGCTACACACATGGGTATACATATGTATCACTGTGGTATGGTGATTCCAGTTCTCTTAGAAAAATACCTAGGAGGGGAGTAGATGGGTTAAACCAGGCCTTCAATCCTAGCTTTTGAAAGAATCTCCACACTGATTTCCACAGTGGTTGTACCCGCCTGCATGCCCTCCCACAGTGAGAAGGGTTCTTCTTCCCCCAGCCTCTCCGGCATTTGTTACTGGCTGACTTCTTGATGATAGCCATTTTTTTCTGGCGTAAGATGGATTATCAGGTTTGTTTCAATTTGCACCTCTTGAATGACCCATGGACCCTCATTGGAGCAAGAAACTGGCCACCTTAGCTTTGCCTCCCCCTGAAGAGGTTGAAAGTCTGCCCCGTGTCCTGTCCAGGCAGGTGGTGAGGAAGTGACACCTGTCACAGCTTCTGAGACCACCTCGGAGAGGGGATCAGCTTCGAGCATCGTCCCTGTGGGGTCTGTGGGAAGATGCCCTGGTTGCGCGGACTTGGGCTATACTCGCTGCTTTGACTTCAGCACTTAACATTTGTTCTTGTAGCATTTTTAAATGAAATTGTATTTCAACTGTACAATTACATAGAGTAAAGAGTGGTAACTCCATACACATAAGCACTAGTGAACAAGCCAGGGGAATCAACATTTCCACCTTCTTAAACATTCTTAAAATTTTTGAGTTATACCTCATAATTGTACACATATGTGGGTTATAGAGTTTTGATGTGTGACCACTCCTGCTGGCAAAAACAAAAACAAAAACAAAAACAAAAACAACAACAACAAAAAACAAAAACAAAAACAAAAAAAAAAAAAAAAAAACAACCCTGAGCAGTTTTTAAGCCAAAGGAAAATTGAGAGAAAAATATTTTCTACTCTTTGATAATGCCTGGGCTTAATTATACATTTCTTGAATTGCAGCTTCAGGGAATTTCAAAACACACAATTTAGCCTGCCTCTACCATATGAAATATTCTACTGGAACAGATAAGATCTGTGCCATTATATTCCCTTCACCTCGCCCAGAAGGTAGAAACAGTAATTCACACTTTCAGGGAGAAGGACAGAAATTTTGCCTAAAGCAGCCCATTTTAATTTCGCCATTTTCTAATTCTTAACATTGAGGTTGAACTTGTACTTAAGGCTGAAAATAACTGCTGCCTAGAGGCAGAGGCAGAGAACTGTGGGCCTCTGGAGACTCCAAGGTGATAGCCCTTTTGTCTGGAGAGGGTGGGAATGGCGACAAGAAGGTGACAGGAGAGACCAGGAGCCAGCAGGGGAGGCGCCGGCATGGCCAGTGGGTGGGAGCCTCTGGAGTACAGCCTGAGCTGGGACTGATGTCCGCGAGTCCGCTGGGCGCGACTCCGGGGAAATAAGCGTGAACAACAAGTCTTGGGGATGTCCGCTCGCCTGTGCGCCTGTCTGAGCGGCCCCCCGACATGCGGCTCCTGCTAGCCCACCCTGCCGCAGGCCAGGGCTGTGGAAGGATTCCGCTGGGGTGGCCCCGGTGAGCAGCGGCACATGCCGGCTCGGAGCTCATGTTCTGAGGTTTTGGATTCAGCCCTCTTCTTGCTTCTCTTGGAATGAGATTAAATCTCTGCAACCTGGGGCACCACCATGCCCTCGTGGGATGAGAGAACCGAGGAGGCTGCCCCGAAGGCAGAGAAGAACCATAGGGTTGGTGTCCGGTGCTGGCGGGAGCCCAGGACGAGAGTGCCCCATGGTCGGTATCCTGAGTGTCCCAGCAGGAAGAGGTGAGGCCGCGTCTCCTCTCAGGCCCTGGCCTGGCAGGCTGGACATCAGCACAAGGAAGTGCTCCATTTCCTCCACTAATAGGAGAGCGTGTGACCCCAATCGTCAATCAAAAACTTTCAAGGGACTTCGTGTGACTTAAGGCCACGTCTCTGACTCACTATTTCCCAGTGGATAGCACTGAAGGGCGAACATGCATTTCAAAGTGCACCCAGCAGCACCCACATACCTCTTCCAGGGGACACTATGGGACATCGCAAGACCCTCCTGAGTCCCATCCCCATAGCTGGCCTTGTCCTCTGTTGCCACGTGCCCGAGAAATTCATAAATTCCGGGTCTCAGGACACACAGTGGCCTGGCCTTTCTGTAGTAGAAACCCAACCATGGTTCTGGTCTCCCTCTCCTGCCAGGGCCTCCCAGGCGGAGGACCTCAAGGGTCTCTTTTTCTGAGGCCTGACAGTGTTGTGTGTGTGAATCTGCGTGCACTTGCATATTTTATTCCTGCTCTAAGGTGGAATAATGGAATCCGGCTCTGCACGGTAGACTGTCCCTGAGTTATTAGCCAGCCTAAGTTCAGCTTGGTGTTCAGGTGAGCCATGCCCCAACTCCAGCTGCCGCCACTGAGCTGCTGTGGGGAAACGAGCAAGGGTGCCTGCCTAGTGCTCGACCCGGGGCCAGGCTGGGCCCAGCCCAGCAGACGGCCTCCCCATGGCAGAAGGGGCAATGCCAGTGGGCCGTGAGCAGCCTGGCAGTGTCACATGAGGCTAAAGTTGCAGTGACCGCCTTGGGCCAGATAGCAGCCTAAGAGATCTAGTTGTGACAACAAGTGGCTGTTTACTTTGGAGCCAAGCATAGAAGCGTTAACTCCGCTGTACTAGCCTCCTTGCGCAGGCCGCCCCTGCAGTGGCCTGGAGGGGAGTGGGACAGCGCCTGCAGGAAAAAAGCAAATTCCGTGAGCTTCAACTTAATAAGGAAGCAGGTCGTCCGGGGCTGAAACTGCCACAGAAAAGCAGCAGTGGAAACGAGTGAAACACAGGAACCGCTTGAGAGTGACTGGGCGGGGAGGGGCAGCTAGGCCGGGCGGGAGAGGCCCAGACTGACCGTAGGTTAATTATTCTTCAAGTTTGGTGTTAGGTACTTACAGCCTCCTCATAGTCTTCTCTTGAACTGTGTAGCGTTTCAAAACTAATCACTTTTAGGAAGTTTTAAAAAAAATCCTGTGTAAAATAATGGAAGTCATAAAACACAAAATCTGATCCACTCAGATGTACGCTGTGCGTTTGCAAGGAAATCTGCAACATCTGAGAAACCTAAAGGCCTCACTGGCAACACAGGCTATTACAGGGCAGTTTTGTTGCCAGTAAGACTTTGATTTTTCACCCTAGTTAATCCATGTCAACACTTCTACTGAATTGTAATATGATTGGCTGATTCTCAAATTCGTGGGATAAAGAAAAATACATAAGAATAATCAATGAAATTTTAAAATGCAATGAAACATATGTAATAATAGCAATGAAATTTAAAGAATACAATGAATGTTGTTAAGTATCAAAATGTAGTGTAATTAAAACAGAGTGATTTTGGATCAAGAAAGGATATTGTATAAATAGGACAGAAATAAAGATGAGGCACATGCCCACATATAAAAACTTAGTTTAAAATAGACATAGCATTTCAAATCTGCCCCCACCTTATTTGGGAGAAATTCAGGGTTTTTGTTGTTGTTGCTATTGTTTTGTCTTTTTGAGACAGGGTTTCACTATGCAGTTCAAATTGGCCTTGAACTCATTTTTTTTTCTTGAACTCATTTTGTAACCCAGGCTAAAACTCAGTTCCTAGTTTGGAAAAAAGATGTATGTAAATATGTACATATGTTTATATAGCATTTTGTTAATCAGTGTATCTCTTTTTGTATCCTATCTCTATGACTACGTAGTTATATATAATTACATGTTTCTCTTAATGTACTCATATTTTACACTTTTATACCTTTTCATCTGAAAAATATTTAACTAATATTTGTTTATACAGTGCACTTAGGTTAAATTCTACAAGACTAAATAAGGATAAGCAAAACAACATTCCCACCTGCTCAGAGTCACAGTGCTTTAGTATGTCTATGCATACCACACCTACATCTGCACATGGGACAGATTTGTGTGTACACATGAACTTAGGCACTTTGTGTGTGTCTGCATGGTGGTTTGAAGACAGCTCTCCCTGTAACACTCAGGTATAGGAACTTAAGCCCCAGCCACTGCTTTCGAACACAGACTGTGGCCACCTCATTACCAATCTGCGCCACCAGGCAAAATTGTTTCAAAAGAATCTGCTTGGGGCTGGAGAGATAGCTCTATGGAATGAGTGCTTACCTGGCGAGTGCAAGGATCTGAGTTCAATCCCCAGTACCACATGCTGTGCTGGCCCCAGAACCCCGGGCACACGGTACTGGCCACCAAAACCAGGCATGTCAGTGCACACCTGTAATCCCAGCGCTGGGGAGGCTGAGACAGGAGGATCACTACGAGTCTGAACAGCAAAGCAAGACCCTGTACCAAAAGAATACGAATAAAAATAAAGAAAAGAATCTGCTTGATCCCCTCAACGGAAACAAAAAAAACCTTGCTTCCCTCTGACTCCCAAACACATCCGTAATTTCCCATGGCACCCGGATTGCACAGTATGACGCTCAGTGAGGAGCCAGTCCATTGTCGGTAGAGATCTCTCTTCGTTATTTAGTTTAATGTTATGTGGTTGGGTGGGGAGAAAGCCAGCAGAGCTCCTGAAGAGCTCTGGAGAGAGGGGCCTCCACCCAAGGTTTCTCTGCAAGATGGT